ATAAAAAAAATCATATGTGTTTGTCCATTTGGAGAGAGAGCAAGCAAAAGGGTGGGTAAAGAGAGAGAGCTCACAAATGTGGCAAAATTTTGTTGGGGAGTCTGAGTGAAGAAGGTATGGGCATTAGGTGTACAACTCTGGAAACTTTTTTGTAAATGAAACATTGTTCAAAGTAAAAAGAAAAAAAAAACACCTTCATGTCTCTGATAACTGTTGTTAGCTCCCAAAAGTAGTATAAACAATGATATAGTTGAAGAATTAAGTAATTAATACTTGTCTTTGATGGTGGCCTATTAATTGGGTCCTTATTAGTGGTGCATATCGTTATTCTATGAAGAATAGCCGTGATTGGTCCTGTTATGATAGTATCCTTAATAATATTGTCATTTCAGGTTTTTTTTTAATTGGAAAAAGTTTTTTATAAAACTCTTGAGCATCCAATGATAGGATTAGAAGGGTCCAAAGAAGTTATATTGTCTAATTCACTATTAAGTGGATAGACTAACTAGATGGAGAGCTATGTATATTATTACTTAAAAACATCACCATTGAAGAAGTTTCTGTTACTCTTCAAATGCCTAATCAGAGGGTCATATTTATTTGTGAATTTTCTAAGTTTTTTTTTAAGAAAAAAGAACCCATAAAATATCTAATTAATATTCCCTTGTCACCCTTAAAAGAGAGCATCAGGAATGAAAAGCAGAGAATTGAATGCATATTAAATAAATACAATATAATGCATGTTTAATTCATATTCCTTCTTGGCCTTTGAGGGAAATGGAGATTGAATGCCAGAATTGGGGAAGGAAGAGGGGATGGGCCCCAGAGAAGGAAGGGAAGACAAGGCTAATGATGGGGAAACAAGACAGCAGGAGAAGGGGAGAATAAGCATGTTCTGAGGAAGAAAGACCTAGCAGATTTTGAGGTGCCTTTTTTTTTTAATTCTATGTCACAGATAAAGATTTTCTGGCTGTCTGGTGCTCCTTAACTTCCGATCCCATATAATCATTGTTTACAGTTTCCCTGTTTTTGTAATCCTCACTTCTAGAGACTCTACTCCCAGTGGAATCAGTGAAACACCTTAGTATGGTAGAAATTTTCCAAATGGTAAAAAGGAGGTCTGCTGGAGGGGAAAAAGAAAAAAATTCCTTCTCTGATTAGCTGAAGTCAGTTTTCACCCACATGCTCCGTTTATTACAGTGAAGCCCCCACATAGGACAAGTTACAGTGAGTCATGATTTTTTGAAATTGAGTTTTGGCAAAGTTTGATTTTTCAAAAAGGGATTTTCTTTGTTGTGGGACTCTTTTATTTGAGGATATTATCTTTCTTTTATTGTTAACCTTTTATGTCTTCTCCTTTTTCTGTCCTCTGTCATCTCAGATTACTATGGAGCAGAGATCTGAATCCAGCTGTGGATGTGGTTCTGTTTCAGGGAGAATGTGTGTTTCAGCTTTAGGCTGATCCATAATTACTTGGATAAAATGGTAATGGGGTCTAATAACCAAACTTTTCAAAGGATTTTTCCCTGGCAAGGTGCATTTCATTTCTTCCTAGTGTTTGTTCTTCTTTTCACCGGAACGAATAACAGCAAAAGGATGAGAGATGATCTGATGAACCTAATGCTCATTAGGAAAGGCAACCGGAACAATTTCAGGAACACGAACAAAAACTCAGTTGGATGAACAGTTACAGGAAAAAGTAAAAATCTCTCCTCGAATGCTTATAAAAAACTAATTTCTGCCTCCCACTTTCCCACCTCCTGCCTTTTTTTTTTTTTTTTGCATCCCTGAGAGTTTTTACTGGGCATTCACTCCTCTTATCTCCGCTCTTCCTGCCAGCGTCTCTTTTTTTATTTACGTGCATTTGTTTTCCTGACACATTTTCATCAACGTCCATGTTAGAGTGCAGACTGGGCCTATCTCATGTTGGCTGACATCATCCTTACTTGGAGCCAACCCCGCTCTCCTGACTCTCATTCTGGTTTCCAAGGTTGTGTTCCCCAGTACCCACCCCCTCTGCCTCTGCCACTCCTGCTAGGGACGTCTGTGCAGTTCCCAGGCTGTCTGCTAATGTCCCCCTTGCCAGTGCCTGGATGACAGCCAGAGTTAGCTCCCAGAAGCTTAATGATGAATCCATGTCTGTCATGAGCTGGAATTGATGCAGGGCACATAGTAGGTAGGGGCTTAATAAATGTTTGATAGACCAATAAAGAAATGAATGTGCGAAGGAATATAGCTCATAACTGAAGTCCTTAAGGAATGAAGCTGTTTAGGCAAACCCTTCTGTCCATAAGTATCGCCAATTAAGTGTGCAGCTAGAAGCATGCCCGGGTCTCCATTAGTGATCACAGACTGGAGCATTCACTTTCCCTCGTGAATTCATATGCAAGCTGACCTGATAGGAACTGCTTGCACAGCCAATAATCACAAGACTTCCCGGATTAAAGGATGTCAGGACAGGGTTTCTGCGTTTAACTTCACCTTTATTAGGAAATGGCTTTCTCTGTCCTGACGATTGGAAGGCTCAGAACTCAGTAGAATTCTGGAAATAGAACGCTGCAAAAATCTTACTTTCTCACGTTGATGAAGAGCATCATCAGCTTTGACAAATTCTGGATTGAATTGGCAAGGCACAATTCTCCAAAAGTCCAGGGATTTTCACATTTTGCATATATTCTCTCATTTCATTGTGTTTTAAGCCAGGTTGCTATTATACAGAGCATTTTAGCGGCCTTGATCTTGGAGACATCAAGACCATTATTCCTGTTGTTGCTGATTTAGTGTTACAGCTGCTTCCTCTTTATGTGATTTAATTTGAAGTTTTAGCCCACCAGGGGGCTATTGGTCCCCACCTATGCAGCTTTAAGAGCTGGCTGCTGTTTTCTGCATGGATGTTATTTCCATTCCTATTCATAGTGATTTTTTTCCCCTTTCTATATTCATCGAGCAACAGCAAGGCACTGTTCCAGGAACTCGTTCTCTCTACATAAGGCGTAACATGGAACCATTTGGATGGAAAAATTATAAATTAAAATTATTCTGTTCATTTTAAAATATTCATATTGTGTTGCTCAAGTGCCAGTAACTGGAAAATCATGGATAATGTCCTGTTTTTATAACCTCTTTCAGAGTGTTTTAAAATCTGTATATGTTGTTACTTAGCCATCTCCTTTCCTGGAATGGATTTTGTGATAAGATTAAAAACAAACCAAAAAAAAAAAAAGTTGTAGGAGTCCAGTGTCTGATGGCATATGTAATATTAAAATAAAGATGATACCACTAATTGCCACCCTTCTTTTTAAAATAGAAAAATATTTACTCCATGTACAGAGAATATTTATACATCTGTCAGACTACAAAGGTAACCTATGAACATGGCAGACTGTTTCTTTTGACAAGAAAAGTTTTTATTAAATGATTAAAACTAAGCAAATGTTTATTGGTTTCTGGAACTACATATTTAATTTAAGTAAGGAAAACCCATACATTCATAGCACTACTGATTTGCAAATGCTGAAAACATCTCCAACTTTTTAAATAGAGGTAGGTTTTTTTAATACCTCCTGTTCTCTCTGCTAAGTTATTGATTTTTTAATTTCAGAAAACTAAAATTTTATTTCTATCCTTTATTTTCTGTGTTGTGTGGGTGTGTGTGAGGAGGTGCAGGTCTCAGAAAGATAGACAAATAGGGTAAAGTGAAGCATGTTGTTACATGGTTTGGCTGGTATTTGGTAAAGTAAATATATCTCTTTTTCTAGAGGAAATAATAGTTATTGGAAATCTCAACTTCATGTACATTTTTCCCCCCTCTGTGGAATGCATCAGAGTGAGGATCCTTACTTTTCCTGCTTCTCTTTTCTATAAGTTTTTAAGTTTATATTCACATAAAAGCCATGTGTTTTATTTGTTGTCTCTCTTGACTAGGAATATTTAAATGTATTTTTAAAATTCTTCTCTTCCATCAACTAAAGACAATTTAAAATTTGAAGACTCTTTCTAGAAATGTATACTTTTGGGTCAGGCTGTCATCTTTGTGGGCCTTGCGAGTGTGCTGACATTCTGCTGAAGCAACAAATCACTTTAGCATGAACAAATTTCACAGGGCTGTTTGATTGTTGGTCTTAGCTTTGTGTGAATCATTTGGCCTTTTAAAATAAGCTAATCCTTTAATCGAATATGCTTTCAAAAGGTTCTGAAAACCTGGGTGGCTCTTGCTAACTCTGTTTTATTCAGTTTAAATAGTACTAAGTTATCCAGAAGTATTTCTTTTTGATTTTTGGAAGGATGTTATTGCAGGCCATAATATTTGAAGTCAGGATTCTTTATAATAACAATAACAACAAAACATACATACATCCTCCTGAAGTCTGATTGATGGAAAATAGGATGCAAGCTGTCAGTAAACAGGTTCTTTGACACAAATACTTAGTTTATACAGCAACGGACTTCTGTGAACGCAGCAGTACAGAGCACTCTATTCTTAATTGAATAAAGAAAACAAATTAGAATAGTTACTGCAGGAGAAATGGGTGCCTCATAATTAATAATTTGCAAGTTTAACCTTAACTACACTTGACATTTTTCTTTGGGTTGGTGACAGACTGATTAGTGAGTTAACTCCTGATAGTCCCTATTCTGCAGAGTGACTGTTCCAAGGCTTGTGGTGCTTCATAAAATCGGTATTCACTGTGATGGGATTGTAGCTTTAGTCCTGATCAAAGTGCTGTGGAGGAAGCATGGTTGAACTGATTGGCTGTGAATGTTAATCACTCCATAGGACGCACTGATAATTTACAGCATTGTTGTAACTCTCTGGTGTTCATGAAATGAACTTAATAACCCAGTGCCACCATGGGATAAGCTGCTTTTTCTCTGCAATTGAATACCCAGACTGCCTGCATAATGGTGTTGAGTAATACTGCATTAAAAAGAGTGAGCAGCTGTATGATGAAGGAAACAGCTCTGCAACAGATTTGTTAATTATCTCCTTTGATTCACAGAGGGTGTTTGTGAGATATGGTTGACCAGTGAAGACACAGGGGCTTATGGCAGAGACATTGGCACCAATCTCCCTGCACTGCTGTGGAAACTGGTTGAAGTGATTCCTGAGGGAGCAATGCTAAGGCTTGGCATGACAAATCCACCCTATATTTTAGAGCATCTGGAGGTAAGGAAAAAAGCACCCCATTTCCCTGCTGACACAGATGTGAACCAATCCAGACAATGTGGCAGCCTCAGCATCATCACATGGTTATATTTAAAACCGATTATTTATTTATTTATTTATTATTATTTATTTATTTATTTATTTATTTAGGGTGGTCCCACGTTACCAAGAATTAGTGGAGAATTTCAAATCATCTTCTTTGTCAGTCTGCACATCTTGTTTTTGCTTGCACTCCATTAATTAATGTTGCTTGGATTTTTCAGCACTTGCCATCTTGTCACAGTTCTTTGTTTCTTCTTTGCAGCACCTCAGACTCCCATTGCATAAATTTGCCTCGATTCCTCCACTTACGACCCTGGTCTAGTCTAGTTCACGTGTGCCAAGACATTGCATTAATTTTGCAACCATACGTGAGCATGTTAACTGAACTGCTGTTAGCCCTGTCTGTGAGGATATTGGGCTGCAAGTTTGGGATGTTTCACACCTCCTCCCTTTGTCTGGAGATAGGGGCGAAATGAGATCCAGGAGAGACAGAACTTGGTATTCTTTTCCTTGATTCTCTTGTGGTCACTGTGAAAACAAAGGGGTTGTGGCGATGGGAGATGCCTGGTCTTATTTGTATCCCTTCCCCAGGTCAGCTGCCTCCCCTTAAGGGGCTTACCATGAAACAAGAAAAACAGACACACGTACCAGTGTGATGTGATGACACATGCCACAGTGAATATAAGCAAGAAATCCAGACAGGCGAGCAACCATTTAAGTGAAAAAATGCATGCTGGGATCCATGACTCCTATTTGAGGAATAAAATAATTACATTGGACCTGTAGTCATGGATAAGAAATCTAATAACTGCTGTTGGAAAACCATGTGCAAAGTATAGAAATAAGCTGCTTATGTTTATATCAGTTATGTTCTTTGTAGTCAGTTTGTGCAGGAAAAAAAATTCCAAAATCTAAAAGAGGGTATAGCTGCTAAAATTTAGCGTGCAAATCCCATGAATCATCAACAATGCAAAGATTGTTTCTGCTAATTTGATCAGAAGCCTGTACTTGGAGTTGGGCAGAAAAGCCTCCCTACCATCAGCGATGTATTTTAGAAATTATGAAAACAGATTTGGTAGCAATCTGATTGGTAATTATAAATATACAGTGAAGAGATTGAGCAGTTTCACTTTTCACAGATTCCTTGCCAGATCTTTTTAGTAAAGATCTATGATTGATGAGTTAACTTTGGTACTTTGGACAGTGTGGGACAGTTAAGATTTGCCATTAAAAATTAGTTGCAGGTATGTCTGTTTATACATAATCCTTTGACCCAACACTTGAAAATAGCAAGTGTAAAAATAAAATATTCTAGGGGATCCCTGGGTGGCGCAGTGGTTTGGCGCCTGCCTTTGACCCAGGGCGCGATCCTGGAGACCCGGGATCGAGTCCCACATCGGGCTCCCAATGTATGGAGTCTGCTTCTCCCTCTGCCTGTGTCTCTGCCTCTCTCTCTCTCTCTCTCTCTGTGTGTGTGTGTGACTATCATAAATAAAAAAAAGAAAAAAGAAAAAAAAATATTCTAAGAGCTCTAGTAGTTTTGCTGCGTTTGAAGTAAATGCACAAGGGATGCACCAGGCGATATGCTAGATACGTGGTTTGCAAAAACCTCATCGAGAATCAAGGAAGCCATAGTAGCTAGAATCAGCACAGCTCAAGGTAGGGGGTGAACATAAGGGGGAAAATCATCATAGGCTCTGAGATGACTGAATAAAGTACCTCTTGGAATAAATTCAGCACTTCAATTAATTGCAAGTTTGCAGAAACGCATGCTACATTTATCGCAGATCCTACTGCTCAGTATCTAAAGTAGTTGACCTCCAAATAGATACTCCAGGAAAGCTTCTAAAAATCAACAGAAGTTGCTAAACATAGCTTTACAGTTTACCTGGAAAAACACCAGGTGTTTGGTTCTCAGATTGTGGTTGGAGTGATAACAAGTTCTTACTGTCATGATGTTATCCTTTAACAATTCTTGCCATCAGATAATCTGTAATGGTGGCCTTCCCTCCTCCACTGTGGTCTTTTACAAGGCAGACCTTATCCATATCTGGATGGACCCTACCCAATGGTAGTTCCATAACTGAGGGAATAAAGAATGAAAAAAGAAAGGGCCTTCTTCAAAAAATAAATTATACAGCCCACTCAATAACCGTGAACTTTTAAGTCTTAAGAGTCTGGTCAGAAGAGGCCACAGAAGATGACAGAGTAAATGAATTGCAGGGGTGAGAGTTTGCCCCAAAGAAAGCCACTCAGTCCCCTGCACTTGATATGTGGGGAGCAATCCAGTCCTGCTGTACCACACCAGGGGAGAAGGCAATCCAAAGGAAGACAGAGCAAATGAAACAGGCAGACAGCTGTGTGCAAAAGTAAAAGACTCGCGCCATCAGACGGTAGGAGTTTGCAGAGTCTTCCTTTGACGCTTTGGCAAGACCTTTACACCTTGGCCTTGGCAGTTCTTTTCCTCCTCTGAGTGGAAGACCCCAGAGCTTACAGTGTTCCCCAAACACATGATTCATCCTGTCACAGGAAAGGGAACTGAGCTGCAGAGGCTCCCCTGGCTCCCCAGTGGAAGCAGGACATTAGGGAAGGGAGCCCAAACCTAGTGAGCCTCAGCCTGTACCCCTCAATACATTGCACATCCCCATATTCCTCTCACTAAGCTTCAGGCACTCAACTGAAATTACCTGATTTATCTAAAGAGTGCTGGAGAGAGTTCCCCAACGAGAAAAAAAGAAAACTGGAGGAAAAAAAATCAAAACAGAACAAAAAGAACACCAGTGAATGACAGATGGTGATGTCTTCTAAAACTGTAGGGATAGAAGGCACCCACTCTTGAAATAACTACTCCGATACTTTAATACCCTCACAGAGGGGTTCCTTGAGAATTATATTGATAGGACCATGCCTTCTTAGGTTTCTGGAAGATGCCGCATGCATCAGACTTTAATTATAGAGCACTTTACTGCACTCTTTCTCTTCCCCTTTGTTCTGTTTACTTCACATTCACCTACCGCTCATGATCTTTCTTAAAAATCCTTTTACCAGCTTGCTTGCTTGCTTCCTTGTTCATGTATGTATATATGTATTTGATTGAACAGTTTAAAGGGGAATTTTTTTTTTGAGAGAGAGAGAGAGAGAACAGTGGGGAGCACAGAGGGAGAGAAACAATCTCAAACAGGCTCATGCCCAGCACGGAGCCCGACATGATGATGCTCCATCTTGCAACCCTGAGATCATGACCTGAGCTGAAATCAAGAGTCAGACACTTAACCAACTGAGCCACCCAGGTGTCCAACAAAGGGGAAACCATTTAAAGGGAAATTTCAGAGTATCTGTCATATTTAAAAATACCATGTGGAAAAATAGATCCATTGATATTACTTTTTATTAAATCTCCATAGGAACAGAAGATGTGTATTTCAATTAACATAGGATGCACTTTTAAGGTTTTATCAAGAGTCTAGGGGCACCTGGCTGGCTCAGTCAATGGAGCATGTGATTCCTGATCTCAGGGTCATGAGTTCAAGCCCCACACTGGGCATAGAGCCTACTTTAAAAAAAAGAGTCTAACATTATGTGTGGCACTTTATATAGTAGACCTTGATTAAATGTGTAGTGAATAAAAGGGGGGGTAGAATTCTTAATCTTTAACAGTCAGGCAAGTAGTCAAATGTTGTTTGGAACATCTATAAACCCTAGTTTTAACATATTCCTGCCTTAAAAAAATAATTTGAGATTCATTTTAAATGATGATACCGCTGACAAAGAAATCTCAAATATTCATACTTACATGTATGTATCTTGGAAAAGCACCCTAGAATTGCAGAAACATAAGTATAACCTTATGTAATACTTATTAAATATGGACATAAGGTCAAAACAATAGATACAGCCCAGCTCACCTTGAAGACCTCAGCATCTGTCCATTACCCACAGGAAGAATTCACATTCTTTAGCTTGGCGTACAGCGGCCTGAAGAGGCCTTCTTCTAGTGCACCCCTATGTTCTCATCCCTGAGTACCCTGTGGTGCCTCCTGGGTATGCTGTGTGTTTCATACTCCTGCAGTTTTTACTCTAACTTTTTTTCTTTCCATTCTTACTACGCGATAACCGTTGGTAATAACGAGTTAACCAGATGTACTGTTATCTGTTACTACATGTGTTGAAGAATATATTGCCCTATCATGGCAGATAAGAGGTATTTTTGCTCTGTGCTTGGTCTCCTATTGATATTACTAAGGCAGAAACCTTGGTATGTTCCTCTCGAGTGAACTCCGACCTTACAGACGGCAGTGTGGCTTGTGACCTGGATCACTCCTGAACCATACTGCTTGGTGTTGCTCTCCAGCTTGGTGTAGGCAACTCACAGCTAAGGTATGAACTCAGACAACATAATACATGTGAACCCCACAGGGCATCTCAAAGCCCGTGGCAGTGATACAGTGGCTCCCACTCCTCAGGCACCAGAAATTGCTGATACCTTTTCTCAAGACTGTATAAATAATAATATCAGTACAATGTATTGAGTGCTCATTATTTTCAAGAAACCACACTGATTGCTTTCCATACATTATCTCTTTTCCTTCTTAAAATAAGCTACCTGCCCTTAATGGGATGAGCACTGGGTGCTATACTATATGTTGGCAAATTGAATTTAAATTTTAAAAATGTAAAAAGAAATAAAAAATAAAACAAACATATAAAAAAAGCCAACTCCTTTTATTGGTTCAGAAGCCACATTGTAGAACCTGCTAGCAGCTGGACTGGTTTCTTATCTTGTCTGACTCTACAAAGCTTTATCCTGTACTGCATCTTTCACAGTGCCTTCCCTAATGCTTCCCAGATTCCCTCCATGCTTTGTCAGATTCTGCGCCACATATCTCTGTGGGCTCTCGTCATGTGGGCTCTTTACTTATTTACATGTAAATCCAACAAAACTGTTACCGTCTTTAGGG